AATGCACACATGAATAAAAGAATTAGTTACTCAAAAGCAGAACACCCTGTCTTTTTGACATTGGCTTATTCTGTTAATAATTTTTAGAACATATTTGTCATATTTGCAAATAATTTGAAGCTAGGGAATTTAGAAAGTATCTTAAATGACAAAATCGGGATGAAAAAATGAACCCACTAAATGATTGGGACTTTCAACCCCCAGAATCAAGTAAGAGGTCTTTCACACAATGGTTTCGCAATAATGTGGAATCAAAGATAATTGTGTCTTTGTTTGTTTCTGTTATTGATTCAGTCTCAATATTCTGTATATTTCATGTATTAGAACAACAAATATCATGAGGAAGTAGCAGGAACCACCTAACTCCTTATAAAGTTATAGATTAGGAACTTTGATGTGAGATTGCTGAAAGCTGAAACAATGCTTAGTTCCTTGAGCTATTTAGGTATAAGCACATATCTGGAATAATACTTGTTTTTGATGTTACTTATCTAAAGAACTAAGCACAACTTTGTGGTTTTCAAATCTCTTCTGAGTGGAAAGAGCATGCTAGGAAATTCCTTTCTGCTGAAGAAAACATACTTATTGCTGGGTGAAGAGCACTGGGAGTTGGATGCTTTTTCAATTAAGTAATGAGCTACTCAGTCCTTTGCTTTTAGCCAGTACAATCCATTTAACTGGCAATAAGACAGTGCTCCATAAACCTATGCTCAAATAGATAAGACTTTTCCATTTTCCCTTCTTTTTCAGCAATCTGTAAAACTCCACCATCTAGTGGAGTCACATAATAGCATTACAGTATCTGTATGTGGGAGAAAAGGTAAGTTCCATTATTTTAGATCTATGTGCTATTTATATGAAATCAGAAAAGAATTTAAATTTGTATTTCTGATTGCTCCTATTATTCCCATCTTCATATTCATTTTTCCTTAGGCATTTGCTCAAAGGGATGAGGAACTTAAATTTTTTTTTTACCTTAAAAACTACTTTATTGGGGTAGAATTAACATTTGTTAAACTTAACATATTCATGGTGTACAATTTGATAAGTTTGGCATATGTTATACTCCCATGAAACTATCATAATCATCAAGATATTGACCATTAATCACTCCCAAAAGTTTCCTTGCACCTGTTTTTAGTTTTTTTCTCTTCCCCTTCCTTCCCTCCCCGCCATCCCTCAGGCAATCATTTATGAGCTTTCTGTCACTGTAGATTCATTTCCAGGCTCGATATTTTATGTAAATGGTATTTTACACTACGCATTCTTTGGGTCTTTTATAACGTATTTTTGGTTAATTTTGGGGGGTATCAAAGTTCATAGTTATTTTGGGATTTATCCATTTTATTAAGTGTATCAATCATATTCCTTTTATTTCTGAGGCTATATCATTGTGTGGATATACTAGTTTGTTAATCTGTTCACCTGTTGATGCATATTTGGGTTTCAGTCTTTGGCTAGTCCAAGCAATGGTGCTGTGATCATTTAGGTACAAGCTGTATATAGACATACTCTTTCATTTCTTATGGGAAAATACCTAGTTATGGAACAGCTGGGGCATGTACTTGACAGATATTTAACATTTTAAGAAACTGTCAATCTTTTGTCCAAAGTGGTGGCACGTTTTGTGTCAGCAGTGTAAGAGAGTTCTAGGCTCTCCACACTCTTGACAACATTTGGTATGGTCAGTCATTTTAATTTTGGTCACTTTAGTGTATGGTGGTATCTCATCACTGTTTTAATTTGCATTTCCCTAATGACTAATGGCATTGAACATCTTTTCAAATGCTTATTTGCCACTCGTATGTCTTTTTTGATGAAACATTTGTTCAAATCTATTGTTTATTAGATTATTTTTATTATTAAAATTGAGAGTTTATTCTATATTATGGTTACATGTCCTTTATCAGATAAATGATTTGGAAATATTTTCTCTCAGTCTATGACTGACTTTCCCACTCTCTTTACAGTGTTTTTCAAAGAGCAGATATTTTTACTTTTGTTAAAGTCCAGTTTATCAATGTTTTCTTTGGTGGATCATGCTTTTGATGTCTTTTTTAAGATATATTTGTCAAGGTCACCATGATTTTCTGTATTGTCTTTTAAAGTTTTAGGTTTTACGTGTAGCTCTATATTGCCTTTTGAATTTTTTTTAATTTAGGCTCATTTTTGCAAAAAAGATATCCAAGTGTTCCAATACCATTTGTTGAAAAGACTATCTTTTCTCCACTGAATTGACTTTTCACCTTTTGTCAAAAATCAGTTGTTCATATATGTATGGATCTATTTCTTGATTCCCTATCCAATTTTATTGACCTATTTCCTTTTTAAATATGTAAATACCACACAATGTTGCTTTATAATAAGTCTTGAAATAGGGTAATGTTAGTACTCCAGCGTTGCCCTTCCTTTTTCTTTCTTTCTTTATTTTTTTTGAGACAGAGTCTGGCTCTGTCGCCCAGGCTATAGTGCAGTGGCATGTTGTTGGCTCACCGCAATGTCTGCCTCCTGGGTTCAAGAGATTCTCCGGCCTCAGCCTCCTGCGTAGCTGGGATTACAGTCACACACCACCATGCCCAGCTAATTTTTGTATTTTTAGTAGAGACAGGGTTTTACCATGTTGGTCAGGCTGGTCTCGAACTCCCAACCCAATGATCCACCTGCCTCAGCCTCCCAAAGTGCTGGGGTAATTACAGGCGTGAGCCATTGTTCCTGTCCTGGTCTTCTTTTTCAGAGTTATTTTGACAGTATTGAGCCTTTTGGGTTTCTGTGTGACTTTTGAACTCAGTCTATCAATTTCTTTTAAAAATGCTGGGATTTCTTTAGAATTACAATTATGTATAGCAATATAGACTTAAATTTGTAAATCTTTAGAAGCTCATTTAAAAATCTGTTAAAATTTCTCATTCAATATTGATATGAAGTGTACAATAACATAAACAATTTTCACAAATAAGATTCAAAGATACCAATGTTTTATGAGATATTTTCCATAACCTGGGGTTGCTTCCTTAGAGTATTCCTAGGATGCCTACTGATCTGTCTATTAAAGTCATACAGTGGAAACAAATGTCCATTTTCTTTGCCAAGAACGTACCATAGATGAATATTAAAAACAGTTCTGCAAGCCAAACTTCTCATCTGTGCACACTTAAAATGTAGCTCTTTCTTTAAAAATAATAATTTGTAATACATTCTGAAAAACACAAACATGCTGTACACCTG